CAGCTGGCCATCCTCACAGGGCGGTTGTGGAGGAGAAAGGCCGTGGCCATGAGCTGCAAAGCTCTGTCCCACCCAAGAGATGACAAGTGTGAGGTGGGAATGAGGGACCTGCCTCCTACTGCTATGTTCCTGGGCACGTGCTGGGCTCTTCGTGGGGAGATGTGTGCCGGGCACACGGGGCTGCTGCCGTCGAGGGTCTGTGTGTGCAGGTGTATCCACCTGTGCGTATACACGGTGCGTCCAAAGCTGCGGCTGCACGTACAGAGCATGCGCGAGTATGCATGTGTGTGTGCGGACACGTGTGTGTCTGTGCGTGCAGCTCTACTGACAGCTGTGAGCTGAAGCTCTCACGTACTCCCTCCACCCCCGCCAGCTTGAGAGGACCCCTTTGGAAGGGTGGGGGGGGTGGCTGGGTGCTTATTCACAGGCCCCATCCAGCTGGTTATTTACTGATTAATTCTGCTACCAGCTGCTAGAGGCCAAGCGTGTGCCAGACGCAGGCCCTGGGCTGATTTACATAATTAAAACCATCAGTAACAAGAGCTTGGCCTCACCCCCCAACTGCTTTCTCTAGCATGACAGGCCGAGCCTCCCTCCTCCACCCACACCCTGTCCTCTGCACCCTCAAGGCTCCCTCTCCTCCCAGACCCCCTCACTCTCCTGGCTGCTCTGTGTCAGCCTGCTGGCCTGGGCCCCTCCATGACATCAGCCACCGCCCAGTCTGTGATGGAGAGACTGTAGTGTTCTGGGATTCTCCAGTCACTGACTCCAAGATTCTATTAGTCGATGGTTCTAAGGTTCTTTGGTGGAGAGCCTCAGATTATAAGATTCAGCTGTGATCCTCTGAGTACGTGATTTTTCAAGAGTCTGTTACTCTATGTGACAAAGGGGAAAAATGTTTGCTCTCAGCAGTCCTGCCTGCGCTCGGGGAGGTGGGGCTGCTATCTGGAGGGCCCGGCTTTCCGTGGAGGCCGCCACGGTGGAGTGGGTGTGTCACCCCTGCTCTCCAGAAGGAGAAGTGTGTCACCGCAGAGGGCTGGGGGTAGGGTAGGGCTGGGCACTGCAGGAATCTGGCAGAAGGGAGGAGGACCCAGGGACACGGGAGAGGGCTGGAGGGAGAAATCCTTGGTGGCGTCCCAGCCTCCAAGAGGGACTTTGGAGAATATCGGATTCCGTGGAGTGTGTGATGTTAACTCCCTTGCTGGTGCCACCTTCAGCATCTTTAGAAAAGGCTGAAGAGAGAGGCAGTTTGTGGGGGGGGGCAGTTTGGGGGGAAGAGTGTGGGCTGTTCTACTTCCCAGCTGTGTGGTCCTGAGGAAGCTACTCAGCGTCTCTGAGCTGCAGTTATCGCCTCGCCTGTGAGATGGGGATTGTTGTGAGGATTAAATATTAACTTCTCTAAAGTGCTTAGGCTGCAGCTGGCGCCTGGTGAACCCCTAATGACTGGTTGCTATTGTTGTGTGGGTCCTTTGGGGAGATGAGTAGCAGGTTGGTCAGACACGGTGAAAGTACAGACACAACGGGGGACTGGGTCTTCCCTTCTCCATAGGTCAGCTCGCGGTGGGGCCGGTGCTCAGAGGATGTTGGTTGAATGAATGAGTGATTCTCTCTTCTCTCAGCTCTTCCCAAACACGATGCCAGCCCCAGGCAGCCCTCAGCCAGCTTAGTGTATTTGGGACACATGGCTTCTCTCAGGTGGATCCCCAGGACTTTCTCTCTCCTCGACCATCTGTCCCATCTCTGCCTCTTCCTCTCCATTTGCACAGCCCAGCTGCGATGCTGAGCAGGAACTTCTGTCCCTCCCCCAACCACCTCAAAGATTGGTCAACATTTAAAAAGTCGAAATAAAGTAAGTTTAAAATTAATCATAGAATGCAAGATGGTGCAGCCGCTGTGGAAAACACTTTGGCAGTTCTTCAAAAAGTTAAACAGAGAATTACCATATGATCCAGCGATTCCACTCCTAGGTATAGACCCAAAGGAGTTTGGAAGTACATCCTCTGATGGAGCAGAAGCTCAAACAGCTTGTACCCCAGTGTTCATAGCGACATTATTCACAACAGCCAAAAGGTGGAAACAACTCAAACGCTCACCTGCAGATGAATGGATAAACAAAATACGTAACATATATAAAGGTATAAAAATACAACACAAATACATACAATGGAATATTAGCCTTAACAAAGGAATAAAAGTCTGATTTACATGCCACCACATGGATGAACCTTGAAGACATTATGCTAAGTGAAGAAAACCAGACACAAAATGACAGATTTGATTTCCAATCAAATTTCCAAATTCGATTCCAGTCAAATTCGATTTTCCATATTATACACTCATGGAAGTGTATGATTCCACTTACATGAGGTCCCCAGAACAGTCAAATTCATAGACACAGAGGGAGAATAGAGGCTGTCAGGGGCTGGCGGAGGGAGGAATGGGGAGTTAGTGTTTAACGGGTATAGAGTTTCAATTTGGGAAGATGAAGAACTTCTGGAGATCGATGGTGGTGACGGTTGTACCACGGTATGAATGTCCTCAATGCCACGGAACTGTACATTTAAAAATGGTCAATTTTGTTATGTATATTTTAGCACAATAAAAGGTTTCATTGAGAGAGATGATTTTGTTTGTAATCCTTCTATCTCTTTTATTTTCATTTTTTAACGTCCACCACTGATCCTCCAGGCCCCCATGTCCCCGGCATATAACAGGCCCTCACTCATCCCTTGCTGAGCGGACGAACGAGTCAGGCTTCCCATCTGGCCCCGCGCGGCGCCAGCTTGACCAGCGGCTCAGGGTTCCTGGTCACGCAGCTGTTTCTCTTTCCCTCTTGATTTCACCGAACCCTACAACCCATGAATCAGCCACAGGTGGTCGGGGATGGGGACAAGTGCCTGGTAGCGATTAGGTGGTTCTGGGCTTTGAGGATTAGACACGGCCCGAGGTGATGGAAGAAGCAATTTCTCACGGAGGCCTCTCTTTAGCACTCATCAGAGGAGAAGGCGCCACCCTCGAGAGCTGGAAAACGTGGGGACAAACAGCCAGGCCCAGGCTTTTGTTGCATTTCACACTGGAGAGGATTCCTTCTTGTTCATCTGGAGCTCTTCGATGTGGCTTTTAATATGTTTGTTGCTGTGTAATCGATTTCTCCCCCTGAGCAAGTGGAGAAAATCATCAAGTCTGGGACAGAGTCAGGCTCTTGGGGATCAAGAAATGTGCCCCACATTCAGTCTTACAAAACCCTGGTATCTTTTATCAAGTGTGAACATTGTGATGTAGCCCCCAGGTGACAGAGACAGATTATTCGAGGTGCTGACTGTATAGCCAGGTCATGTTTTTTAAAATCAAAGGCACGTGCCCCACATTCAGTCTTACAAAACCCTGGTTTTTTTTCATTGGCATCATTGTTTTGTGGGGAAAGACTTTCAATCTTGTCTCTCATTTCAAAAAAACTTGATGTGCACCTTTATTCAATAGGGAGCGTTGCTCAGGTTGCAAACACAGATTTTTGTTTTGTTCGGCCCATCTCTTCTGATAGATGCTGAAAAGACATCCACTCAGTGGCCTTGGTTTGATTGTACTTGCTATTTTCTCCATTTCTCTCGGTGCTGAATGAAGATGGGGAGGTACATTGTTGCCTGCCAGCTTCTCGGTGAACAAGCGCTGAGCGCTGGCATGCCTGAGCTAGAGCCTCCATCCACGGAGCTGTGCCCTTCCCTGCCGCCCACAGGGTGGCCGAGAGTCAGTGCTGATCTCCGTGTCACCTTCCAGCCCACACCGTGGCTCACAGTGTTACCATCAACTTAACCAAAAAAGTTCTCTCCTGCAGCATCAATGCTGAGTGATGGACAGGACCCAAATAAATCCTGGAGCACATTTCCCTCATATATGTACCCATCAGGCTGCAGGTGATGGAAAAAATCCAGCTCTAAGTACTTTAATAAATAAAGGTGCATTCCTGAGGATATCGGCCTGTCTGCTATAACAAAAGCCCAATAACAGTGGTATCAGTAAGCCTGAGTTTCCTTCTCTCTTGATGAACAGTCTGAGCATAATGTGACCAGTGCAGATAGGCTACAGCTTTTTATTTTATTACCTGCCTTCCTCAACCGCAGGTGGCTCCACCATCTGGTTTAAGATGGCTGCTCCAGCTCCTGCCACTGCACCTGCATTCCAGCCTATTGGAAGTGCAGAAAAATAAATGGAGGTATGCATCTTTCCTTTTGAGGGCATGAGTAGGAAACTGCACAACTCCTCTCTACTCTCATTTCACTGGCCAGAATCCAGTCATAGGATCACACCTACCAGCCTGGTAAACTGGGAAACATAGTCTTTATCTGGGCAGCTATGTACGTATTCAGCAAAACTTCTATGAGTACTGTGGAGGAAGGGGAGCATGGATATTGGGGGATAACTAGCAGTCTCTTCATTAACTCAGTGACTAAGTAGCATTGACCTCCTGTGGGGGTGAGGATGGAACAGTGAACAAGACGGCAAATGTTCTGTTTCTCCCAGAGCTCACAGTCAGGTGGGAGAAGAGCAAGAGGGGAGAGTTTCAAGGGGGAGTCGTCAGCCGTGTCTAAGGTGGCTGACCAGACAAGTCAGAGTTGAAGCGACAGCCTGGTGACCTTGACAAGGAGTGGAGAGGAGGGACAAAGATTGACTGCAGGGCCTCCTGGAGAGGCACTGGGGTGGGTGAGCGAATAGAGACAGGTCTTTGGGTGTTTTTTTCTTTCTGTAAAAAAAAAAAAAAAAAAGAAGGGGAGAAATGGGGGTGTGAAGTCAAGACAGTTTTTTTTAAATTTAATTTAATTTATTTTTACACAGCATGTTCTTATTAGTTATCTATTTTATATGTGTTAGTGTATATATGTCAATCCCAATCTCCCAATTCATCCCACCACCACCAACTCCCCGCCTGCCGCTTTCCCTCCTTCATGTCCATACGTTTGTTCACTTTTTTTTTTTTTTAAGATGGAGAAGTAAGTATGTGTGTGGTGATGGGAATGATCTTAGAGAGGGAAAAATGAAAATGGAGATGAAGGAGAAAGAGGGGGAAATGATGGAAGAGCATCCTTGAGGAGATGAGAAGAGTTGGGTCTAGAGCACCATGGAGGCTTGGTCTTAGAAAGAGGGATGTGGGCATTGGTGGAGTCTTGTCTGATTACTTCTGCTTCCTCAGTGAAATAAGAAACAAGGTCATTGGTAGCTTGGGTGAAGATGGGGAGGAGAGACTGGAGAATTGGGGACATAGGAGAAGTTACGCATCTGCTGCCAAGGGGCTGCTCTCCTCATGTGACAAGAAGCTTCCCGGAGGGACAAGATGGCTGCCACCACTGGCTCCAGCCTTATGCCAGCATTCCAGGTGGGAGGAAGGTGGAAGGAAGGTGGGGCCCCACCAGTTGTCTCACTTGAAAGAAAAGAAAAGCTTTCTCAGAAACCCACCAGCTGCTTTCTGCTTAGATCTCACTGGTCAGAACTGAGTCACATGGCTACCCCTAGCTGCAAGGGAGGCTGGCAAATCAGGAACAGGATTCTCAAGATTGGCTGAGAGGAGGGCACACCGCCTCATCAAATGCAGCCAGGGTTCAGCTAAGAGAAGGAAGAGGGATTGTCTGCCACGCCCTCCCATACATGTGCCAAGGTCTGCTATGCTCTGCCTGCCAGTGGTTTTGTGTATCTGTAAAGAAAGGGAAGTATCAGCCACTGTGCATGTGTGATCATTACAAGTCTTCTACATCGTTGGCCATTAATTTCATGGACCACCACCCCCAACTCCAATAGTGGTATTTGATAAAAGGTAAAATAATTTTGCCAATAGCTTAACCTGTTTGCTCTGACTTAGTCACCGTGTGGCTGGCTTTATAATGGTCCTGGTAACAGAATGGTTTGTACATGGCTTTTCTATGAAGCCAGCCGCCTTGATTAATGCCTCTGTGTTTTTGGTCTCTTCTCTGCTGTTAGTGATGGAAGTCATCAATTTTGTGCTGGAAAGCTTTATTTTGTGCTTGTTCTAGAAACACTTCAATGTTTTCCCAGAGTGATGCCTTGATTGTTTTCTGGGGAAACAGATGTGAAAACTTCAAAGGCTCCTACCCACCACCGGACAACCTGACATGAGAGACCCCGCACTGGTCACAGGTATGACACAGATCCACTGGCAGGTACGTAGGGTTGTACTTTCTATTTTTACTGTTTGTCTTTGCTGGTGCAAAATCATACCTCTCCAAACCAGCGCATTCCACAGGCATATCAAAATCCTCGTCACTATTGATGGTTATGCCTTATTCTGAATCATAGAATTTTTGTTAATATTTTCATCGCTACTTTCATGTTTCAACAAACCATTTTGCATCATCAATCCATTTTATTTGGGGCTGTAATACAACACAAACATGTCTGAGGGCTTACTGTGTGCCAGGCAGTATTCTAAGTGCTTTATATATATTGTGTCAATTTTAAAGCATGCTCCCAATTTTTTGGACAATCCTCCTGTGAAGAGCTGGAATCTCCATCCCTTCCCTTTTAATCTGGGCTGGACTTATTGATTCGCTTATCACCAATAGAAGGCAGTGAAAGCGATGCTTTCTGAAAGCGATGCTTTCTGATTTCCAAGTTCAGGTGCAAAAACGCCATGTAGTGTCTACCAGGTTCTCCTGCGACTCTTGTTCTGGAGGAAGCCAGCCACCAACTCCCCTGATTCTGCCATGCTGGATGTAGGCACCAGCTCCAGCAGAGCTGCCAAACTACAGCAGGCACCGGATGCCAGCCGTGTGAGTGAGCGATCTTGTCCAGTGCAGCCCAGATGACGGATGCATCAGGTGATGGCATCCGCAGCCGGCATCTGACGGTGCCTGCGTGAGAACCCCCACCGAGAACTGCCCAGCTGAGCCCTTCCAGAATTCCTGACCCACAAAACTGTGAGCAGAATAAAATGGTTGTGTGTGGGATTTTTTTTTACCGCTAGAATTTTTAGCAGCAATAGTAACCAGAAGATATAGAACTCATCTCATCTCGATTTTTCGGCTGAAGCAATTGAGCCCCAGAGAGATTAAGCAACTTGCACACGTTTTCATGGCAGAGATAAGAGATGAGTGCAGGCAGTCTGATTCTAATATGCTGTCTCTTAACAATGGGGGAAAACAAAGTTAACCAACAAGCAGAAATGCACAAAATGTAAAAAGTGTGCCAGCAAGGCTACAGCACCTGCAAAAAATCACAATTAATATTCCATTTCAAATTTGCAAAATGGAAGTGAATGAAATTCTTCCAACCTTTCCTCTTTCATCTAAAAACTTCCAACTGCGCAGGGAGGTCAGGGTTTTGAGACCACATGAGGGAAGCCCACACCTCTCGACCCATAGTATCTTAGGCACGGGAGCTCTGAAGCTTCCTGGAAGAAAATATTAGAGCCATAAAATTAGAGGACATCAAATTTAACTGTTGGAAACACCTTGGAATTCATCTCATCCAACCTTCCACCCAGGGCAAGAGAAGGAAAAACCACGGGAGAGCAAAGCAACCTCTTGATACAGTGGCCTGAGCGACATCGGTAGGCAGCTTGTGGTCAATGTCCAAGGAGCTGTAGAGGAAATACGGCAGGGTCAGAGCACAGGGTCAGGATGGTCACTGAGGGCGGGGGACTGGGTCGGCCTCATGGGCATGTAACCTGTGCAGTCACTCAGGGCCTCCTGCCTTAAAGGACCCCACATTTCATTTAATGCTCTGCATCGCTGTCTTGAAATTCTTAATAATTTTTGAACAAGGGGTCCTGCATTTTCATTTTTTACTGGGTCTCACAAATTATGGAGCTGGTCCAGGCTGGGGAGGTCTGAGAGCTGCCTCAGGAATGAGTATTTCAGCAGAGAGAGCAGGATAGGCAAAGCCTGGAGGCTAGAAAGCCCCAGATCAGCTTGGGAAATGGTTACTTGCCCAAGACCATCTAGGCAGGAAGAGGTAGCACAAGGAATTGAACCCAGTCTTCTCGGACTCCAAGGCTCGTGGTCATAAACACTTTGCTCTCCTGTCTCCTGGGACAGAACTCACACCAGCCTCCTGACTGTTCCTACAAATTGCAGCCTTCTCTTCTAGGGAGCCTTCCTGGATTGCTATGACCCATCCTACTTGCCATTCCCCCCTTCCTTCATCCTTCTTATCTGGCTGAGCCTGTGCCAACCTGTCTATTTTCCCTGCCCCTCCTGGCTAGCGTCTACTGTGGCTTCCAGGCCCCCGGGCCAATCCTTCCAGGGCCTTGTCTCCCAAGAAGAAGCCTTGGGCTCAGTCTTCTTGCTGCAAACCTCACGTAGATTTCACGGTGAAGCCTTTCTCACCTTCCCATTCCTAGAGCTAGGCTGCAACAAAGAATTGGCAATGGGAATCAGGCGTGGTTCGCATTCCTCCCCCACTGACTAGCATGAGCACCTTAGCCTCTCTGAGCCTCAGTTTCCCGACCTGTTAAGTGGGCCTAGACCCCACATTAATCACTGGTCCTGTACATCCTGATATGCGGCCATGTCAAGGACACCACACCTCTGCGCTCTTCCTCCCCACCCATGTCCCAGACCAATCATGAGAAAACTTCAGACACACCCGAATTGAGGGCCATGCTCCAAAATACCTGATCGGTACCCTTTAAAACTGTCAAGGTCAAGAAAAGCAAGGAAAGAATGAGATGCTGTCACAGATCAGAGGACGCTAAGGAGAAACATGACTAAATGCAACGTGGGATCCTGGATAGGATCCTGGAACAGAAAAAGAACATTAGTGGAAAATGGGTGAAACTGAATGAAATCTGGAGTTTAGTTAATTGTAATATACCCGTGCTCATTTCTTAATTTTGACAAATGCATTGTGGTGATGTGAGATGTTAACATCAGGGGAAGCTGGGTGAAGGGTACATAGCTACTCTCTGGGCTCTATGTGCATCTTTCTAAAAATAAATCTAAAATTATTCCAAAATAAGATGTTTATTAAAAAAACAACAAACCTGCACCACTGCTATTGCTTTTGTCTGCCGTGTCCCTCCCCCATTCTTCTGCTGATGGGCCCTTCTCTGGCTACAAGGGTGTGGGTACCTGACCCAGCCTGGGCCATTAATCTGCCCTCATCACCCTGGCCCTTGGTCCAAGGGGTAAGCATGTGACCTACACTGGGCCAATCAGAGTCCTTCCCTAGAACTGTTCAGCTTGGAATTGGATGAAAATCTCTTCCCATTCTCGCCATGAATATGTAAGGCTGTAAACCTGGGGTCTCCTGGTTTCACTGAGTGGGGACGGTGACCCAAAAGAACTAAGCCTCCGAGAGAGAGAGAGAGAGAGAGAGAGAGAGAGAGAGAGAGAATGATGACGGCCTTCAAGGTGGCCTCGTCCTCCTTCCCAGTCTTCCTCAGGCAGACCCTTCCTGCCCTGCCCTGTTATGTGAGCCAATATATCCACTTTTGAGTTTAAATCAGTTAAAACTGGGCTCGAGCTGGGTTTCTGTCACTTGCAACCAACGAGTCCTAACATAACTTCTCAAGTTGTGTGAAGACTCAATGGCGTTTGTATATAACCTGGCACACGGCAGTCACCTGCAAATGGTGAGGAATATGTTTTTTCTGCAAGGAGTCTGGGGCCTGCCATGCACTTCCGCTCGTTTGGTTATGGCCCTGACACCTGCCTTGCTCCCCTCCTGGCTCCCACGTACCCTGCTGGGCATCCTGCTTCAGATGAGCGCATCTGGCTTCACACGCCCTCCCCCCTCCAGGCCCTGATCCCGGCCTCCTCCTCTTGGTGTTGGGAGCTGAGTTTGCAGCTGAGATTGGGTTTTGCTCTGGGAAGGGTATCAGGGAGGAAGAAATGGAACTCAGCCTCTGGCAGAAAATTTCCTGCTCAGAAGTGGGGGGCAAAATCCCAACACTGGCCTGGCCAGACCCAGTGAAATCAAGGTGTAGCTGAGTGTCCGAATGCCAAGGTTTGTCTAGTGCTTGTTCTGGAAATGAAATGACGGGGCTGTGGAAACTGGAGTTCCATGGGCCCCAAGTGTGAGGTTGCGGGGAGCAGGAGATGTGAGGGGAGGTTTTAGAGAAACCACAGGCAGAGCAATCAGAAGGATTTGAGTGAGAAAGGGCAGAAGTCGCTCTTTTATCTCAGGTCTGGGCTGTGGGCCAGGAAGGCTGAGACACCACCAGGGAAATCCAGGGAGAGTACTGAGGGCGTGCAGCCACCTTGCCCTGGAGCTGGGCTGGGAAGGACCTTGCTCAGCCCGAGGAGGGACGAGGCAGGTCCTGGGGTTGCCTTCCTGAGCCTCAGTTGCCCCGTGCTGTCCTGGCCACTTCGTGCATCTGTGCCTTGTCCCTTCCACCTGTCAGGCTGACAGGTAGCTGGAGCATCTCTCTCTCTTCTTTTGTTTTGCGGTGATTTAATTTTTTTTTTTTTCGGTATGCGGGCCTCTTACTGTTGTGGCCTCTCCCTTTGTGGAGCACGGGCTCTGGACGCACAGGCTCAGCGGCCATGGCTCACGGGCCCAGCCGCTCCGCAGCATGTGGGATCTTCCCGGACCAGGGCACAAACCCGTGTCCCCTGCATCGGCAGGCGGACTCTCAGCCACTGCGCCACCAGGGAAGCCCAGTGATTTAATTTTTAAAAAATTTTTATACAATTTAAAAAGTTTACTTTCCATTTACAGTTATTACAAAATATTGGCTGTATTCCCCGTGTTGTACAATACATCCTGGAGCCTATCTTACACCCAAGAGTTTTTACCTCTCACTCCCACACCTCCATATTGCCCACCGCCCTGCCTCCCTTAACCACTAGTTTGTTCTCTATATCTGTGAGTCCGCTTCTTTTTTGTTATATTCACTAGTTTGTTGTATTTTTTAGATTGGAGCATCTCTTCTTGTGCGAAGCGTTCCTTTTGCCCACCGCACCCCCCCCCACACCCGGCCTTCAGGGCAGAACTGAATTCACTTGCCTTTCTGTCGCCATACGTTTTCTTTCCTCATCCACTTTACTCTTCCTTCCTTCCTTCGTTTGTCCACTCAGGCATGAACTTGATCATTTTATTCAACAAATATTTTTGGAGTGCTGGCTGCATGCCAGATCCTGAGCAAACCGAGGTGAATAGGACGGACCCCGCCCTTGCCTTTGTGGCAGCCAGAGGGAGGGAAGGGGCTGGGTTTAGGGTACGTTTGGAGGCAGAGCGGGTAGGAGCCGTTGATGGGTCAGATCTGCGGGGAGCCCAGGAGGCATCAAGGAGGCATCTGGGTTTTGGGCCTGAGTAACTCTGAAGCAGCCGCATACACTTGCCTTTCCCCACAGAGCCTGGGGAACACACAGTTACCCTAACCCTGATGCTAACACTAACCCACCCCCACACCTGGATTCTAGACTGAGAGGACATTAGGTATAAAGGCAAGGTGCTGGGAATGACGAGCCACGTGGGGGCTAACAATGGGGCTACCTGCCTAAAATACCCCAAGAATTCCCGTGGCCACAGCACGGTTCCATCAGCAGGAAAAACCGGGTGAATTGTAGCATTGCCTCTTTCTCACTGTGTGATCTTGGTCAAATCACTCAGCATCTCTGAGCCACATCAGTAAAACGGGAATACTAACAATAAGTACCTAGTAAGATTGCTGTCATTATTCACTGAGACTTTAATTCATGGGGAACACTTGGTATCCAGCCTGAATGAGAGAGTAAATGCCTCCATTTTAAGTGATTATTATGATTCTAGGTAGAATGTGGCCAGGTTGCAGAAGACTCCAGATGCTGGTGTAAGGAGTTGGCGTTTTACCCTGTGGAGTCAGAGCCTGAACATTTCTGAGCAGAGGAAGAACACAAGGAAAGCAGGCAGTCAGTGCCTCTCCAGTCCCTGCAGCATCCAGAGCCTTGGAACCGGTTACAGGTCAGCGGTGACAAGCCCGGCTGCAGGGCCAGTGACTTCCAGCTCCCAGAGCCCTCCAGCTGCCCCACCTCCGGACCCAGGCAGTGGAAGCCAGTCTACCCCCACCCCTAGCATCACTCCGGGCAGAGCCCGGCTCACTGAGCCAGCTGAGACTCAAGCCACCCCCACGCCCCCGACGCTGTGGCCACAGGGCCCAGGCCTGAGACTCCAGCAGGATCCCCGCCCGACAGAATTCTGGAGCCCCACGTAAGGGTGCTTAGACCCAAATGGCAGACACCGCCACAGTGCAGGGCTCAGTGGCCTCCGGCTAGTGGGCAGTGGAAGTCAGATAGACGCACAGAGCCCTGAGCATCCCCCATCCCCTCCAGCTCTCCCTGGCAGGTGTCTCAGAGGAGACCCCTGGCTCAGAAAGCTGGGGGCAGGTGGTCTGTCATAGGGCTGTAGTGCCTGCAGGCCCCACCTGTGTTGGAGCCGGCTCTCCTTGGTTTGACCCTTGCACCATTGGGTGGGGCCACTTTTGTGCCTGGCGAGGGGCTGGGCACCCAGGGTACCGACCAGGTCAGACACGGTGGGGTCTGGGAGTTGCTCGCATTCTAGTGGAGCCACCAGGTGTATCAACAGGGGCACTCACAGTCCTTCCCTGTCCCAGGGTACGCTCCGGGCCTGCTCTACCAAGACTGGCAGGGAGGCAGGCTGGCCAAGCTCAGCCCCCAGAAATCTCAGTTCCAAGCCGGGCAAGCATGACGCTGTCGGCACCCCTAATGAGGTTCCCTGGGGCCCCTCCCATAACTGGATCTCTGGACCAAAGGGTATCCACCTGGACATTTCAAAATATCCCCCAGGGTGTGGTCTTGCCCTCTGGCCCTCACAGACACCCTTTCATGGGCGTCACACATGCAGCCACCCTGTACTCTTGTCTGGCCTCATCAGGAATTTTATATTCATTCTTCAAGCTCCGTTGGCCTTGAACTGCCCTTGATTCATGGAGGATGATAGACTCTCAGAATCAGAGAATCCTATGGATCCTCCAGCTCCTGTATCCGCACCCCTAGTTCTGTTTCTACCTTTGCTAGTGTGGCTGCAGAGCACGGAACTTCCTCAGTTTTTCCAAATATAATTGATCGACCTCAAGCCCACTGGCCCCCAAGACGGCTCCTGATGATACCTTTCTCCTGGAATTCACACCTGTGTCATCCCCTCCCACAGTGAACAGGGCAGATCTGTGTAACCAATAGGAAATTGCCTAAACGATAGTGTGTACCTTCTGAGGAGAGGTCATCTGAGAATTGTGGCCTCCTCCCTGTTCTCACTCCGGGAGAAGCAGCCGCCATGCTGTGAGGACGCTCAAGCAGTCCCGGTGAGAGGTCCATGCGACAAGGAACTGAGGCCTCTCGCTGACAGCCGGCACCAACTTGCCAGCCAGTAATGAACGAAGCATCTGGGAAACAGGTCCTCCAGTGAAGCCTTCGGATGAGTGCAACCCCAGCCAAACACCTGACTGCAATCTTATGAGAGCTCTCAAGCCAGAATTGTCTGCTGCCAAATTCCTGACCACAGGAGCTGTGAAATAATAACTACCCGTTGCTGTTTGAAGCCACTGAGCCTCGAGGTAATCTGTTACATAGCAAGAGATGATTTATATGACAAGCACGTAGACTTTTCTGAAGACAGTGGTGGGGAGAGGTGGTAGAGGAGGCTGAAGCTGGGGGAGGGGCTTATATTGCCCACCTTTCCTCAATCCCCAGCTCCAAATCCTCTCATCCTTAATACACCCAGCGATTACCTGCTCCCTAAGCCCTACTTTTAACCCGGCACACTCTGACCTTTCACGGGGCCTTGCAAACCAAAATGCCCTCAGCTAAGTGACCCCACTTTCCCGAGAAGGCAGCTTGAAGCTGTCTCTTTATATTCAATTTGGGATGGTTCCATGGTGGGCAAGGGGCAGGGGTTTTAGTGGGGAATCTTCATTATTTGTCCTTCTGGGTTCCGTGTCTTATCACTGGCTCCCACCCTCTGTGACCATAGCCCTTGGTTCCAGCATTGGAAGCACAGCAGAAAATCTGATTTTTGGTCTGGATCCAAAACAGGAATATGACACCCCATACACGGTCAATGTGTGTGTGTGTTTCTCTAAAAGAACCACTTAACCTAATTTCCTTAGCATCAACTCGAAATGCCATGTAGACCGAGGGAAAAAAAATTCACCTAAGTACAAAGGGTAGGTCTTGTTATTCACCTTAAACAGCCCATGAAGCTTTTCAGCAATTTATGGGTTCCTCACACTCTCACTCCTCTGTTTCCTAAGGCTGCAGAAAGGAAGATCTCCCAGAAACATGTCCTTGTGGCGATACGGCGCGGGCAGTGGGGTCGTTTGGATGCGAGCCACATCTGGTCAACTTAGGACAAAGGGCGCTTTTGGGTGGGCTGTGAGCAGCAGCTCCCAGGCACTGCCGGAAGATCCCCGGGTCTGGGATTCAGGACAGGGGTCCAGGCTGCTGGAAATGCCTCCCATCTTCTGGCACTGAGGCTTTTGGGATGGTTCTGCTTCAGCTGTTTTTCATGTCCACGCGCCACTCCACTCACGACTCAGCCCAGCTGGGGGCTGGGGGAGGCACCTTGATTCAAATTCCACCAAGACTGTACATGGCAGTGGGGAGAGAGGAAATTGGGAGGCTGGTGGGAGGGAGGAGAGATGCTGGGTTCCCACAAAAACCCCCTAATGTTCACTTTGTGACTTTTTAATGAGAATAATATATGTTAAGGGCCTTGCACGGTGCCTGGCTCTGAGTGAGCCCCATACAAGCTAGCTACTATGAGAGAGGTGACGGAGTGAGAAATAATTCGGGGGAGGACACATGTGAGAATGAACGATGCGATGTGATGTGTGCTGTCATTAAGGCCTGCACCGACTGCTCTGGGGGCCGGTGGAAGAATAAGTAACTTGGCCAGCTCAGCTTAGGGGTGGTCAGGGAAGGCTTCACCGAGGAGGCAGCCTTTGAGCAGTACCTGATGATAGACTAGAAGTAGACAGGTAGGGAAGGAATATGAAAGGAGGAAAGTCTTCCAAGTTGAGGGAACAGCATGCTCAAAAGCACAAAGGTGTGTAGGTTATGGGGTGAGAGATTCATGGTATGTTCTGGAAAGGACGGATATTGGTGTCTGGGACCCAGAACATGTGTGGGGTGATACAAGATGATGCTAGAAGAGTAAGGGCTTGACTGCAGAGGGCCTTATTGGGGCAAGGTGAGGAGTTTGGGTTTTATTCCCTAGCAGAGAGGACGTACCATTCATCTCTGCGTCTGCACCCAAGGCAGACATCACCAATCGATCATGATGACACTGTCTTCAGGGGGAGCACCCGGGTAGCTGCTGCCAATCACTTGGCATCGTCATGCAAAATGAAACACTCTGCATCCCTGCATGGGCTCTGGGGAGCTACTGGAGGGTTTAAATAGGTGGGTGATGAGGGAGGATGGCTGCAGGTGTTCAGGTGAAAGACGGCAAGTCCTAACCTAGAACAATGACAATGGGGATGGATTGTTGCTGCCCACATTTTTCTCAACCTTACCTGTTCAGCTAGAGATTCCAAGTAGTCTCTTCATCTCCACCTCTCAGGCCTGGCCAGAGTGCTCAGGGTCCCGTGTGCGTGCGTGCGTGTGTGTGTATTAGCTCTGTCTGGGCTACATTGTGGGGAGAAAGGTGTTGTATTTCTGGAATTGTGCTAACCCATGTGGTTGCCATTAGCCACATATGGCCATTTAAATCTAAATTAATAAAATCAAAATTAAAAATCCAGTTCCTCAGTCCCAGTAGCCACAGTGTCAAGCACTCAATAGTCACATGTGGTTAGTGGTTACTGTACTGGGTGATGCAGCTATATAACCTTTCCACCATCGCAGAAAGTTCTGTTGGATGGCGCTGGTCCAGAGAAAGCCGAGTCGGGTGTCCAGATCACCATCCTCAGTTAGCCCAGGTCAACTCCATCTTCTATCTGGTGGTGGTGACTAAGAGTTTGAAAGCCTTGCCAATTTATGTCTGCCTACTAAGGACGAAGCCTCCGAAGGGAGAATCTTAAGAACGTTTCAGAGCTTAAAGCCATCTCCGAGCTAATCCACCAAGCCTGGAGGTTCCAAGGGGAAGCGAGTGCCCTTGTGGTGACCCCCAGCATTGTGCTGGGGACAGGGCTGCTTCTGTTACTCGCATTTCACAAACGAGGAAACTGAGGCTCAGAGAGGGGTGGGACTTGTCCTCCCTCGGCAGATGATGGGAAAGTCACGCAAACTGAACCGGAACAGACTGTTTTGCTGCGTGCTGCCTGGTGTTCCTTGGAATCATTGCTCAGTTTCTTGGGCCAGAGCACAACTGGTGGACCTCCTCCAGTGCCCATTTCTGCAAGCCTCTGCACGGGAGAGCCTCAGCCACGGGGGTAGATTGGGGAGATTTCTGCAGTTGCTCCCTAGATCCGCCAGAGGGCGCAGAGGCCGCTGTGCTTCCGCCTGAGGTGGGCGGGGCCGTGAGAGAGTCCTTCCTTCCAGCAAGGACTTTGGGCTGGGACCCTGCTTCTCGCCTGGCCTTATGCAGCGGACGAATAATGTATTCCATGTGGCCCCTACCCTCTAGGAGAGCTCAGTTTAGCGGGCAGAGACAACATAATGGCTTGTTTGGGTCTGCAGCAAGGGGCCTTGAAGGGTGGATAGGAGTGTGCCAAGTAGCCTGGAGTCCAGTTGTGGAGGGCAGAGGTGGAACGCCCAAGTCTGTCTCCTACTCGGAGAAACCGTGACCTCGGTGGCCTGTGTCTCAGCGCTTGTCTACCCTCCTAGCCTCATCCTGGACCTGCTTTCCTGTTCTCAGTTGACAGGAGGGAGGAATTTCTCAACAGAGGTTCTGCTCTAGTAATACCTAACTCACTGGAGTTCCTTGCACACACCAGGTGGTTTCATGCCTCTGTGCCTTTGCACATGCTGTTCCCGCGGCCTGGGACGTACTTCTCCACCTTCTTCAGTTGACCAACTCCTACTCATCCGTCAAGATTCAGCTCAGGCAATGGCTTTTTCCAGGGAGTCTCTCCCATTCCTGGCCTGGGTGAGATGCTCCTTCTGGGAGTTCCTGCAGCCTGTTCTGCTGTGCACTACTTGAGGACAGGCACTGGCGCACAAGGCCCCATAAAAGTGATTGAGACGCATAGGGCTTGTCCCAGGCAGGGCTTCAACGGGAAGGTTTGCGGGTCCCAGGAGCCGAGAAGCCGCCTATTTCTTCCTGCACGTGACATGAGCCAAATCTCCTCACCAGGTGCTTGTGTGCCCAAGTGTGTGTGTGTTGGGTGGGGGTGGGGGTGGAGGTATAGGCCCCGGATGTCAGAGCTTCTTTCTGCATCTCCCACCTCTGTGTGTGTTTACGTGGGGGGCGGTGGCCAGAGAGAGGCTAGGGCTCAAAGGTCTTAGGAAGCGTCTCTGGGCTGCAGCGGAGACGAGTGTGCCCCTGGGCATACTCCGTGAGGGGTGGGGAAAGGTAGTGAGCGGCAGCCCAGAGCCCTAGCCCAAGGGTAGAGACACCCGGAGTCTACTACTGTCTCTGCTATCAAGCACGCTGTGTGACCTTGGAGGAGTCACTGCGCTCACCGAGCCTCAGTTGTCTCGCCTGTAAAATGGGAACGCAGCAGCCACAGTTCTCCGGTTGTCGGCGGTTGAGCACTGGACGGGCGAGCCGGACGGCTGCCGGGGATGGGGTGGGGTGGGGGATCCACCTGTAGTGGGAAGACCAGGGGGCTCGGGCGTCTTCGGGCGGGCGCTGGGGGGCGCTGCGCACCTCCGGCGGCCCGCCCCGCAGCAAGTTTGCCTCCAGCTGTTGAACGCGCCGGCGGCGGCGGGACTCGGTCCCCGCGGGGTGAGCGGGGCTGGGGGCCGGGGCGTGCCGGGGGCTCAGCCGTCCGCGGGGCCGCGGGTGCAGCTGAGGAGCCAGGCGCGGCCCCCGCCCGGCGGGCGTGTGTCTGCGAGCGTGCGTGTGTCCGTGGCGGCCTCGAGCCGGGAGAGGGGGCGGGAGGGGTCTCGCTGCGGAGAGGCCTGCGGAGGGCGCGGAGGGCTCGGGCGGCTAGGACGGCGGACAGACCGCGGCCGCGGCCCCTGACGCACGCTGCGCTCCGGCCCCCTCCCGGGCGCGGGTCCCGGCGAGGCAGAGGCGCGGCGGGCGGCGGCTGGGTCTGCGCGCACACGGCGGCTCACAGACACACACCGGCCGCGCCACAGACACACGCCACGCACCGAGCCGCGGCCGGCGCGCCAAGCCCGCCGGGCGCCGCGCGCATCGCTCCGCGCTCGCACTCGCACTCGCCCTCGTGCGCAGGCCCCGCAGCCGCCGCGGCCGGAGGCGGCGCTCGGCCAGGAGCCCGGCTGGGGCTGGAGGTGAGTGAATTCCTCCAGATCCGAGCGCCCGCGGCCGGCGGAGACGGTGGGAGTGGGCGCTGGGACCGGAGGACACCCCCTCCGCCAGTGGGGGTGGGGCTTGGGAGGGGGACACAGCCAGGGAGAGGATGAGACGGGGAAAGCCACCCGCGGCGCCTCCTGGGTCTGGGCATCCCCGTGAGACCCCCGGAGGACCACCCTATGCGGGGCGGCGGGGGAGGGGGGCGGTGGTGGTGGTGGGCGGAGGCGGGGTGGGAGGACGAGGAGGACGGTCGGTGAGGTGAGCGGTTTCGGGGGGTGGTGCAGAGGCTTGATGGTGGACGGTCGTGCCAGCCAGTGCCACAGCGCACCTCTCTGCCCCCATCTTTGCGAATCGGGGGCCCTCGCTCCCCTCTTTCACGGAGTGCTGCCGGGTCAAGGGATTCATCTTCGTAGCTGGTAAGGGGGGTTTGATTGGTGCGGGATGACAGCTCCAGCGGGAGGGGGCCAGGGTGGGGCTTTCCCCCCCCACCCCGCTTCCCCGCAGGAGGGCGATGGGTTTGGTAAGAGGACCGGAATTGGGGAGTGGAGGCTCCCAGGGGGTGGGAACCCTTGCAAACGCTTTGCCCCTTTTTCTGGTGGCGCTGGTGTGGGGCAAGCAGGGAGGCAGCCCAGGGAAGCAGCAGAAATCGGCAGACTGCAGCTCTGGCAGGGCCAGGGCCACTGCCGGTGTGTGTGTGTGTGTGCGTGTGTTTGCATGTGTGTGTGTGTTTGCATGTGTGGGCTCCAACAGCTGGCAGAAGAGAGGGGCAGGGGGTGGGTGTGTTGGCTGGTGAGGCAGTGTGTGCACGTGGGGAACGATGTGTGTGCTGTGTGTGCACACGGGGCTGTGTGCAAGAGTGGACCCCGTGCTCTCTGTACACACACACACACACACACACTCTCTTCGTGGCTCAGCAGGGTTTCCTCGGAGTGTTTGGAGGGGAGAGTGCTGGTGTGTTTGTCTGTGTGTGCGCTCGGGGAGCTCGTGTTCAGGACAGAGGCGGCCAGGCTGTGGTGTGTCAGCCGTGCCCAAGGAAGGAGATGACAGGGGATGGTGGCATTCACCCTCTCTGGGCTCAGCTTGGAAGAAATGGACAAACGTGGTACTTGAGGGCACTTTCTGCAGCTCTGGGCTCCCTGCTGTGTTCCGTCCACCTGGACCCCTCCCACCCCAGGGGCTGCCTCTGGAGAGCGCTTGGATCCCGTTGGGGAGACACAGGTGTTGGACCGGAGTGTGTGTGTGTTTGTGTGTGCGTGTGTGTGTGTGTGTGTGTGTGTGTGTGTCCGGGCTGCGGCTGTTGGAGGAGAGAAGCTGGGGGGGGAGGAGGGAGGTGCTGGCAGCACCTGGAGGAATGTGGTGGAAGCTGCAGGCCCCAGGCTGCCAGATTTAGTTACTGAGGGACATTTTTATCTGCCTCACCAGGGGAGTAATTTGCATGTGTATATGTGTGTGCCTGGCTCAAACACCTGTTCTCAGGGCCTGTGGGCACCTGTGGGACGTGTCGTGTCTAGGCCATCAGCAGGGCATGGGGGCCTGCACATGTGTGTAAACGTGTGTCCTAGGAGAGGAATGTCTGTGCACTCGCGTGCGCACACGCGCGCACACACACAGGCACCGTCCGTAGATGCCTGTCCTGAATGAGCTGTGTACATGGGTGGGGACCTCTGGGCCATCGGCCCCTGGGCAGGAAGAAGTAGGAGTAGTTGAAGGGGGTATCAGGGAGCTGTGTGTGTGTGTGTGTGTGTGTGTGTGTGTGTGTGTATGTGTTTATGTGTGTGACGTCAGTGAGAACCTCTGGGTGTGACATCAGCTCCAGGTTGCCGGTGACGTCACTGGGACAGCAGTGTGAGGGGTCACCCCCAAGGACCGGGTGATGTCAGTGGGAGGGTGAGGGAGGTGTCACGGTGAGGGTGTGTGGCTCAGTGTGGTCACATCCCCTGTGTTGTGAGGGGTGAGAAGGGGAGAGGGATGGAGCCTTGGGGTGAGCAGTCCCTCCCAAGAGGTCCCGTTTCCTGAGTGGATGTGGGACCCCTTTCCGTAAGGCCTGCCCCCCTAATAGCACATCTCTGTTGCCTACCCCCCGACCCGTGGTGTCCCCCCTCGCCCTCCCCTGCCTGGACCCCGCCAGTTCCTGTTCTCCACCCCATCCCAACGGGGTTGCACAGACCCTTCGGTGACTGTGTTCTGGTGAGTGAATGTATGTGTAAGTGCAGGTGATGACAGAAAACGGCCACAGCGAGGGAGCCAGAGACCTTAGGTTCTAATCCCATGTTGCCTGTCTGTGTTTTGTGGTTTAGGCATTCCTGTCACTTCTCTGGGGCTCAGTTTCTTGT